AATACCAGCCTACCCTCAAGTGGGAGTGGAGGTGGGGTGATGGTGGTGGTGGTGGCATTAAACGCCACCTCCTGGGGGGAAGGACATCTACCATAGGAAAGATTGTCTCTTCTCCACTGTTTACTTATTCAGTAATTTCTAACAGCATGAACTCATGTATACTTATTTTATATTTTGGGCTATAATCTTACACAACATGATTTACTTGTTGCTCAAGTTGTTCCAGCTTTGCCCACTGGGAGTGCTTCCAGTTGGCTCCTGTGTCCCTTCCACACGCCCCATCCTTTTGTTTTTTTGAGTACTTCCTTACTTTTTGGTACCACAAGATGCTCCAGGTTCATCTTGTGTTTACCCTGTCCCAGACCTAGAAGCGGCCATTTCTCTGGGAGCCTGGGAGCTAGCTTTTGAGAGTCAAGAGCCCAGAGCTGTGGAATGTTACCATATTAGACACAGAGGGTGCACAGTGCTTCTCTGCTCGGAATGCTCAGGAGAATGTGTGAGCAATAAAGAAGAGGAAGGGTACACATGGACATGCTGCCTGTTTCCTTAGCGCCCAGGCTTGGATACACTCCCTGATGTGCTACCCACAGTTATCTGATCTGCCTGGGTTAGACTATAGGATGTTTCTCAGACCAACTGCCCTTGCTTGGCAATCAGATTTTGGAAGCCTCTGCTGTCTGCACAGAATGGCAAACATTCTGAGTCCCTGACCTTGTGCTGGTCAAGGTCTGTCCTCCTGGGCTGGACTTCTGGAGGCATTGCTGCCCTGCTCATTCCCAACTGAGAAGCTATCCAAATACCAGTTTGTATTTTCCCAACAGTATTGTTTCAGATTTGGCTTCTGTGCCATCGCCTCCCTCTCATGCATGCTCAGTAGCTGTCCTTGCTTCCTTTAGGAAAAAGCAGTGTACCCGGCAAGAGTTCCTGCAACCTCTCTTGCCTTCCCTGGGACCACAGCTCCTACCTTCTCCACGCGTAACTCTTCCTGCTAAGCCTGGATCCATCCTCTCTCACTTTCTCTAGGACCATCCCTTTTGCTCCTATCTTTGGCCTTGTCTGCCGCTGCCACCCCCAGCCCCCTTCACTGGCTCCTCTTTTGTTTTTTCTCCACCACTTGTCAGCAGGAATAAACGATTCTCCTGCCTCAGCCTCCCAAGTAGCTGGGATTACAGGTGCCCACCACCACATCTGGCTAATTTTTTTTTTTTTTTGTAGTTTTGGTAGAGATGGGGTTTCACCATGTTGGCCAGGCTGGTCTGGAACTCCTGACCTCAGGTGATCCACCCACCTCGTCCTCCCAAAGTGCTGGTATTATAGGCATGAGCCACCTCACCCAGCCCTGGCTCCTCTTGCTTAGCCTAAAAGGACATTTACGTCTCTTGGCCTACAAAGGCTCTCCTTGGCCTTGCCTCAACCTCCAGCTAGCCCAGAATCTCTCTCCCCTTCACTTTGGGCTTCCTGAAAGGATAGACCTTACTGATCATCTCCCTTCACTACCGGCAATCCAAAATCTGATTGCCAAGCAAGGGCAGTTGGTCTGAGAAACATCCTATAGTCTAACCCAGGCAGATCAGATAACTGTGGGTAGCCCATCAGGGAGTGTATCCAAGCCTGGGCGCTAAGGAAACAGGCAGCATGTCCATGTGTACCCTTCCTCTTCTTTATTGCTCACACATTCTCCCGAGCATCCCGGGCAGAGAAGCACTGTGCACCCTCTGTGTCTAATATGGTAACATTCCACAGCTCTGGGCTCTTGACTCTCAAAAGCTAGCTCCCAGGCTCCCAGAGAAATGGCCGCTTCTAGGTCTGGGACAGGGTAAACACAAGATGAACCTGGAGCATCTTGTGGTACCAAAAAGTAAGGAAGTACTCAAAAAAACAAAAGGATGGGGCGTGTGGAAGGGACACAGGAGCCAACTGGAAGCACTCCCAATGGGCAAAGCTGGAACAACTTGAGCAACAAGTAAATCATGTTGTGTAAGATTATAGCCCAAAATATAAAATAAGTATACATGAGTTCATGCTGTTAGAAATTACTGAATAAGTAAACAGTGGAGAAGAGACAGTGGAGACCATGGAGATAGGAGTTTCCACAGAAAAAGGGTGACTGTATTGGCTTCTATTGGAGAGACGCTGATAGGGAAATCAAGTGGCCCCTCTCGAGGAGGCATTCCAAAATAATGAAATACTGCCGGAAAGTACTGCCCCAGAAAATTAGACTGAGAGCTGGAGTGATCTGAAAAAGCTCCCAAGAAGCAGAAGCTGACCTGGGCCTGGAGTTGTTGAGATTGAAGGAGAGGAGTAGAGGCTGCTCCCCACATGGGTGGCAGCCATAAGGTGGAGAAAGGAAGGGCATACATTGCCAAATATTTTCTGATCTACTGTTTTCTCTCATCTCAGGGTGACAGCCTTTGTCCCACAGTGACAGCCACTTTAATCATGGAGTATTTAATCTCATGTGGGGTCATGCCTCCAGCATCGCCACTGACTAGGTGAAGTGGCCAGAGTGATTCGCCACCTCACCTGGTTAACCTCGTTGCATCTTGCCAAGGTAATGGGGGTGTGCCCTTTCCATCAGTGGAGCAAAAGGAAACTCACATTCAGGGCTTCACCCCTCCACATCGGGGTTCTATCTTCTGATACCCCTACTCTAGCTGGGCTGGCTCCTGCTATTCATTCTCTTTCTGCTGACTTCTCTCCTTGACCCTGCCAGGAACACCTTCCCCTCAAGTACCCTGGCTCAGCCCTGGTTTTTGGAATTCAGCTTGTGGTAGATGAACTTCCTCTAGGATCAAGAGCTTGTCAGCCTGAGCTGTACACAGACTTGTGTGCACACAGACTCATGTGTGCTCACAGACCCTGGCCAATTTTGTGGCCTATGGCCTGTTGCTTATTCATTCATTCAGCACATACTTATGGAGGACCTTCAGGCACACTTGTAGGCCCTGCAGATACAATGATGATCAAAAAGATATGGCTTTAAAAGAGTTTGCAGATGCATCTGAGTAATTCCAAACTGTATAGTACAAAGAAGTGCAATGAAGAAAAAGTATGAGTGTGCTCACAGTCTCACCCAGGGTATTAGGTAAAGCTTCCAAAGGAAGTGACAGCTTTAACTGAGATCTGACGAATGAGTAGGAATTAACAAGGCAAGATAGTTGAGGTGACTGAGACAGGAGAGGAGAAAAATCTTCCCAGACAGAATAGCATGTGCAAAGTCCCTAGAGCAGGAAGGATGGCCGGCTGGCTGGAGTGTAGGAGGCAAGGCAGAGAATGGGAGGAGGAAGGGTTAGAAAGGGCAGTGGAAGCCAGAGGGGCAGGGCCTTTTAGGACCGTGTTCATTATCTTGGGCTTCATCCCAAGAATGGTGGGAAGAAAGCCAATTAAGGATTTTACAGAGTGACATGATCAGATTTGTACTTGAGAAACTACTGACTGCAGTGCAAAGCACAGATGAGAAGGGGGCTGGTGCCCCTGTGAGAAGAGTTGGAGGTTAGGTGACAGCTGTGGTCCCAAGAGAGGTGAGGGTAGGGTTAGGGTGGTGGCTGTGCTCCAGCTGCTTGTCCCTTGACTTTTTGTTGTTGTTGTTGAGACAGTCTCACTCTGTCACCCAGGCTGGAGTGCAGTGGCACGATCTTGGCATGCTGGAACCTCCGCCTCCTGGGTTCAAGTGATTCTCCTGCCTCAGCCTCCTGAGTAGCTGGGAATACAGGTACGTGCCACCATGCCCAGCTAATTTTTGTATTTTTAGTAGAGATGGGGTTTCACCATGTTGGCCAGCCTAGTCACAAACTCCTGACCTCAAATGATCCACCCACCTCCACCTTCCAAAGTGCTGGGATTACAGGCATAAGCCACCATGCCCGGCCTGTCCCTTGACTTTTTTTTACTGTCCTTAGATGCCAGGCTTATGTGAGCAGTGTGTTCCCAACAGATGATGATCCCGTGGAAGGCCCTGGGGTGGGGATGAAGGTTAGGTTAGTCCTAGTGCTACCCTTTGGTAGAGACTCAGGACCTGATAGAAAGGGGACTAAGAGAGCCTGGTCTTAGAAGTTCTAAGTTTTTCATCCGAATTCCCCTTTATTTAAGGATAAAACCAAGCTTGATGAAGCTTCCTTAAAACTGGTGGCCCTTCAGGTGGGAGCCTTCATCCCATTTTTATCCTGCAAAGAGCCCAGAGCACCTGCCGCAGGCTGTAGGATCCTTCCTGCCACTCTGACTTCCAGAATTTCATGGTGGCGGGTACCTTAGGGCCACCCGGGCAGGCAACGGGCAGGAAGATGAAAGTGGGCTTTAAGGAGGAGCACAGCTATGCGCATCTCAGATTCTGGAGACCTGAACGAACTCTAATCTGAATGTGTGACCTTGGGCAAATCACTTACCCTCCCCAGGCCTCGGTTTCCCCATCTGCAAAGTAAAGGTAGTCCCAAAGTTCCCACCAGGTGCCAATGGGACTTTCAGTCCAGCAGGCAGGATGTTGGTGGCACTGTGCGAGGCCCCCCAGTCGGCGTGGGGCGGGGGCGCGCCGACGCGTGGCCACCACAGAGGACCGGGTGGCCCGGGAGAAAAGCGGCGACAGCGCGGCGGTGCGGGGGACGGCGCCTACACTGCCGCGCCCCCAATCTCCTGGCTCGCCGCCGCGGCCCGGGGGCCACGAGGTTACGTAACGAGCCGGGCGGAGGGAGCGGGCGGGGGGAGAGGGCGGGGCGGGCGCCGCCCCAGCGCGGCCGCCCAGCCCGCGGTAGCCCAGCCCCCGCCCGCCCGCGCCTGGCGGCGGCGGCGGCAGCGACAGCGGCAGCAGTGGCGGCCGCGCAGCCCCGCGGAATGGAGCGGCGCCGGGGCTGAGCCGGGCGCGCACGGGCCGCCGCATGTGCCGCGCGGGGAGCGGCTGCCGAGCGGACGGAGGGCGAGCGCGAGAGGCCCCGTCGGAGCGGCCGCCTGAGCAGCGCCGGAGATGGGGTGAGTGAGCCCGCGCCGCGCGTGCTCCGCGCGCCCCTTCGGAGAGACTGCGGGGCCGCAGCAAGCGTCCCCGGGCTCAGAGCCCCGGGGCGGACTGGCCCCCGTCTCCCCAAGCCGGAGCGAGCGCACTGCCAGCCCCCGGGAGTCCGGGGCCACCCGATCCGCGCCCTCCACCGGGGCGCGCGGACACCCGGCAGGGGCACCCTGGCCTGGGCGAGTAGCCCGTGGCCTTTCCCCTCCCAGCCAGCCCGGGCGCGAGGGCACCTGGCGGGGACCGGTGCCCTGGCCGGCCTCCTGCCTCGGCCATTCCGCGTTCTCTTCGCCCCGGGGCGCAATCAACTCCAGGGCCTGTGTTTGTGAGTCTCAGAAGCAGTTTGTCGTTCTCCACGTTTGGATTTATTACAAGCAAAATGGAAATCGAAGTTTTCCTGGAAAGGGAACACATCAAATAATAATAAACCTCCAGCGTAGGAATAGTGGACTTTGGATCTGCTTTGAGATGGCCGAAGATGATGGAAGTCTATAAGGAACCTAGGTGAGGCTTCTAGTCTTTGAAACAATTGAGTAGACGCTCCGGAGGGAAGTTGAAATACGCTGTCGAAGTGACTAATGCTTCTGAGTATATAAAGTAATTTAAAAGCAGGATTGCTTTCCCCTCGGCGTCTCTCTGAGTATAGGAGCCACTGTGTTAACAGCACAATAACTCCTTACATGTGCCCACCCTGTTTGGGCACACGTTGATGGTTTGCCATACATATTCAGGGGACACTTAAGCCCACTTTACAGATGAGGAAACTGAAGCCCAAAGTAGTTCGGTGACTTACCCCAGGCTGTGCAGCCGATGAGCATTTGTATATCTGGGGGACACTTAGCCCGCCACTGCCTGGCATGTGGGCATGGAGGTGGGCAAGTGAACCAGACTTCCTAATTCTCTCTGTTCCTTGCTGCTGAACTCAGCATTTTCCAACAGCCCCTCCCACGACTCAAATGCTTCGCCTCAGAGGGTCTAGAGATCTTGCTTTCCTGTTTGGGTTGGGTGGGGCCTGGGAAGGCAAGGGTGCAGTGGAAGGAGCAGGATTGTCCTGGTGGCCTGGCTCAGCCCCCCTTGGTCAGTGGCTTTCTTGCACTCCAGGTAAGTTTCTGGAGTCATTTTGCCCAGTGAGCCTTAGCCATGGGAGCTGCAGAGTGTGTGAGGGGCTCAGAGGCAGGCCAAGAGGAATTTTGAGGAAAGGAAGTGTGAGGGCTGTGGGCCAGCATGAACTGGATATGACAGAGGTGGGGACAGAAAGAAGGGGGTGAGGCGGGCAGCGAGGACTGAAGAAGTTTGTTTACATCGAGGAGATTTTACATGGACAGCAACTGTGGGTGATTTTACCCCGCAGCACCCAAGCTGGCAGGCCGTTTTTCTGTAACATTTCCAGTGAGTCCTCAGTGGACTGTGAAAAGGCTAATCTTTGAGCAGTAGGAGCCTTTGAGGTTCTCAGATTTCATACTTAAAAAAAATGTACAGGGAAAAAGGAATTGGCAAATGTAAGGCCTCAGGATGGAAGATAAAAGGGATCTGGTAATTTTAACTCTCTCTCTGGCCCTCCCTCCCCCCGGCCAACACAAAACCAACCCACCATACTTGTGTGATCAAAAACAAATATTGAAATTCTGTGGTTGAGATCAAATAGTTCTGTGGAAATGAAAATGTTTACTCATAAAACCTTAAAGAAAATGTCAAAAAATAATTTTTGTTTGTGGAGAAGCAGGGAGGAGATGCTTGGGGATTTTGTTTAAACACTGAACGTGTCTTTCATGTAATTTTAACATCATCCAATAAATGTATATATTACTCACTTCTCGTAGGTAAAGGCTAGTTTGTAACTGCTACCTATATCTGCCATTTTTAATAGATCCTTGTCTTCTATAATATATGTGAAAATACAAACCGTAGTCGTAAATTGACATGCAGCTAAGGACTGGGGAAGCAGTTCAGACCCAGGAGGCTGGAGGGAGCCGTTTAACTGAAAATAGAACCAATGTCATCGTTTCTGAGAGTTGTGTAGGATGGAGGGAGAAGAACTTCTCGAAAGGGCAGCTAGTAGAAAACCTTGCTGTGATCCTACAGCTTTGTCATGGCTCTGCTTTGTAGACAGAACTAGGATTTAAGAAAAAAAAAAAAAAAAAAAAACCCTCTGAGTTTACCTCCTCCCCACTTGAGACGCTCCTCCTTCACTGCCATTTTCTACTTCCCTTCTGTAAGTGTTCTGCCTTGTGTGGTCTCTCCAGTGAGTTTGCGTTCTTGCTCCCTAAGGCAGCTATTTCATACCTGTTCCCTGTTCCAGACCTCTCCCCTTCCTATACACACCCCTGGCTTCCCTTTCGATTGACAAAATAGGGACCTCTGACCAAGGGAACATCTTCATTTCGCCACTGCCTAGTCTAGCATGCAGCTGATGCTACTTTTTCCTACCTGCCTGCTGTGCTGGATGGCCAGTCCCTCATCTCTTCCTGCTAAGGGCCCCTCCTTCTGCGGCAGCCTCCACTCCATCCCTTCCTCTTCCTATCTTTTCAGAGATTGTCTCTCCTTCATAACCATCAGTATAGGAGCATACATCTATCCAACAGAGCCTTCTGCACTGCTGGAAATGTCCTGTGTCTGCATCGCAGCCACCAGCACATGTGGTTATTGGACACTTGAAATGTAGCTGTTGAGACTGAGGACCTGAATTTTTAACTGAATCTTAATGTAAATAGCACCTGTAGCCAGTGGCCACCATATTGGATAGCATAGCTTTAGTTTCTCCTGTCTTAAAAAGGAGCTCTCCCTCCCTCCTGCATCCCTCTCCTGCTTCTGTTTTACTTCTTTGTTCTTCGTCACCTGAAAGCACCTCAAAATATACATCCAACCCCCCCTGGCTCCCTTCGCTTTTTTCCTGCCGTTTGTTCACTCTTCATACTCTGCAGTCTGGCTTCTGCCTCACCTCCGCATGGAAACTGCCAGGGTCGGGGTGGCCAGGGCGTTGCTGAATCTCACTTTACCTCTCTCTCAGCAGAGGACCACCCACTCTCCTCAAAACAACAGCCCTTTCAGCTCCTCTGGTTTCACTGTTTCCTGCTTTTCTTCTTACTCCTAGTCATGGGGTTGTCCAGGAACTGGTCCTGGTTCCTCTCTCTGTCCATAATGTCTTCCTGGGTAATAACTGTCCCACCCCCAACTCTTCCCCACCCTCCCATGGCTTCACGTCCATCTGGATACCTATGATGCCCACATTTTAATTTCTAACTGAGATCTTTCCTGGGGCTTCTGACTCTCGTCCATACATGGAGCTCTTGATATGCCTTCCAGTTCTCACCTTCCTCTGCCTTCCCCATCCCAGTCAGTGGCCCTATCATGCTCTCATTTGCCAGGTCATCCTTGAGTCCTGTTCTCCACCCCTCACATGCAGGCTGTCAGTTCGTCTTGTGCATTCTACTTCCGGGATCTATCTGGAGTGCCTTCACCTTGCCCCACAGCCGTAGTTCCCACTCTAGGCCTGGCTACCATCCCTCCTTCCTAACAGGCCCCCCAGTACTCTGGGTTGTCTGCAGTCCATTTTTCACACAGGAGCCTAAGTGACCAGCTTTTAAAATCACGAGGCAGATCGTGTCATTCCCCTTTTTGCATACCTCCCGCTGCCCAGGCGCTGAACCCGCTCCTCACGCCGTGCTGTTGCGATCTGCTAACACAGATCTCCTTTCCGTTTCTTGCCCCACCTGAGAGCCTTGCCCTTCATTCCCTCTACCTGGAATTCTCTTACCTTCCTCTTTCCCCTCACGGTCACCTGTTGAGGGTCTTTCCTGCCATCCTGCCTACAGCACCCACCTCCACAACTCTTTAACCCAACCCCACTTTTTTTTTTTTTGAGACAGTCTCCCTGTGTCACCCAGGCTGGTGTGCAGTGGCACAATCTCTGCTCACTGCAACCTTTGCCTCCTGGTTTCAAGCAATTCTTATGCCTCAGCTTCCTGAGTAGCTTGGATGATAGGCGTGTGCCATCATGCTCAGCTAATTTTTTGTATCTTTAGTATAGACAGGATTTTGCCCTGTTGACCTGGCTGGTCTTGAACTCCTGACCTCAAGTGATCTGCCCACCTCAGCCTCCCAAAGTGCTGGGCCCCAGTCCTACCTTTGTTTCCTGTAATTGCTCTCCACAGCATGCCAGTAAGCATGCAGGTGTTACTTACCTCTTAATAATCTGTCTTCAATAGCCTCCCAAAAGGATAGGCCTTATCTTTTTCACCAGTGTATTCCAACACCTAGCACAATGGCTGGCACCAAATAGGCCTCCAGTAAATGATTTTTGATTGAGTAAATGCTTGAATGTTGTGGGCAGCCTTGCTTGGATGCTGGCCTGGAAGTTGCGATAGTTTTTGGGTTAACTCTTATATCGCTTGCTTAATTGGGAGTTGCAAGGGCCAAGACAGAAAGAGATCACATTTGGATGCAGTTTTCTTTTAACACTAAAGCAAGCCATTGAGCTTTTATTGTGACATGGGTTAATTTTCGGGCGGTCTGCTGTCCTTTGAGTACTGGGGTTGTAAATTACCTTTTTACTCTCCTGCGAAAGGCCCTCAGAAAAGCCGGCTTGTCTGCTGTTGTGACTTTTAGCTGATTTTGTCAATGTTTACAAATAAGATCCGCTGTATTACTGTTTGGCTTCATTTGACACGCCTTTATTTTGTTCAGCCAAGATTACCTTGCGACGTACGGATGCCACAATCGTGGTTATCTAACACCTCGGACTGCCTTTGGTACTCTATACCGGTTAACTTTCTTTTGATGTTCGTTCCGTCTTCTTTAATTTTCCATTCCTCCTGAATCACACCAGACTCTGTAGTTCCAATAAATTACAGGGCTGTTCTTAGGGGTTTGAGTTGACTACAATAGATACAATCTCTCAGATATGTTGAGGTGAGTTTATCTTCTCTTGGTCCTGTGGGTTTTTTAAACTTCACTCTCTAACATTCATTCAGTCACTACATTGGTAAGGCAGTTGGTGAGTGCTGTGGGGATCTGGAGATGAGCAGACCCACTAGTTAGTTCCTGCCCTTGTGGAGTTTATATTTTAGAAAGGGAGATAAACTACACACACAAGTACCCGCTTTGTATGTGAACGGCTGTGAGAGTAAACACAGTGTTATAGTCCATTGGGTGTCAGAGGTGGTGGTGGAGGGGTGCCCCTCTATTTGGGGAATTGAGGAAAGATGCTGTGGTACGTTGTTGGGGGGACAGATGGTGTGGTGCACTGATGGTTACACAATCATCCCCGTTAGTGTCTGAACTGGAAAAATACACAGAATTTGGAATAGCGTAGGCACTACATAAGTAGCTATTGAATGAATGTGTAAATAGGCATGAATGAATATTCTCTTTGGGTCGACTTTCTTTGTTGTTGTTGTTTTACTAAAATACACAGTTTATCAGATAGAATAAAGGATCAGGAAGGGGGCTAGAGGATGTTGCAGTAGGATAGAGATTTTAGATGGGGATCCAGAAGGAGACTTCAC